CTTGCCCCACTGTCCATGCCCCCACTCTCCTTGCCCTCACTCTCCTTGCCCTCACTCTCCTTGCCCTCACTGTCCTTGCCCCACTGTCCATGCCCACACCAGCTGGTGCATTGGTGACAACAGAGGAACCTACACTGACACATTGTCATCACCAAAGTCCACACTGACATCAGGATCGCTGGTGGTGGTGCACACTCTGGTCTGGACAAATGTACGTTGACATGTATCCCATGAGAGCGTCATAGTTCCACTGCCCTAAATCCTCCGCGTGCCGCCTGTTCGCCCCGCCCTCCCCGCAACTCCGACAGCCACTACCCTTTACTGTCGATAATTTGCCTTTTCCAGGACGTCAGACAGTCGGAATCACACAGTGTGTAGCCTTTGCAGATTGGTTTCTGTCACTTCGATGCATCTGAGGCTCCTCCGTGTCTTCTCATGCCTGGCGGCTCATTTCTTTTAGCGCTGATAATATTCCACTGTCTGGAGGGACCACGTTTATTCACCCATCACCTACTGAGGGACATCTTGGTTGCTTCCAAGTTCGGCAACTGTGAATGGAGCTGTAATAAGCATCCCTGTGCAGGTTTTTATATGGACATGTTTTCAACCCCTTTGGATAAACACCAAGGATTTAATAAACTTTTAACTTGGGGACCGTTGTATATTTATAGAAAATTTGCAAAGGGAGCTCCCACACCCTCTCCGCGTGCCCCCCAGTATGCATATCTTCGTCGGGGGGCACAGTATCGCCGCTAGGAGGCCAATGCTGGCGCCCTCCACTCGGGGCCAGGCTCCGTCATAGCCCACTGGCTTCTCCACCAGCAGCATTTTCAGTTCCTGGTTCCAACCAGGAGACCACGTTGCATTTAGTTGTCACGTGTCCTTAGGTACCTCTAGTCCGTGACCTTGTCTCAGTCTTGCCTTGTGTTTTAGGCCTTTAGTCTTTTCTTTTTAATATATTTTTATTGATTCAGAGAGGAAGGGAGAGGGAGAGAGAGAGAGAAACATCAATGATGAGAGAGAACCATGGATCGGCTGCCTCCGGCACACCCCACACTGGGGATGGAGCACACAACCCGGGCATGTGCCCCGACCAGGAATCGAACCGTGACCTCCTGGTTCACAGGTCGATGCTCAGCCACTGAGCCACGCTGGCCAGGCAGGGCATTGAGCCTTTTTCAGAGTGCTGGTCAAGATAGTTCAGGAACATGCCTTCGTTAGGGTCTGCCTGATGTTTCTCTCATCATCAGACCGGAGCTACGGGCTTGGGGGGGGGTACCCCAGAAATGAGCGCCCTCCTGGCACATCGCAGCAGGGGGGACATCTTATGAGAAGGACTTGTCACTGGTTGCAGGCTCTCCGCTAAGAGTGTTCTTTCCCTCTCCAGACTCCGTTCCTTGGAAGCAAGTCACGAAGTCCGGCCGATGCTCAGGAGCCAGGCGGTAACTCAGCCCCACCTCCTGGTTAACGGTGGTTTGGAGGCGCTGGGTCCTCATACCTGAAGCCAAACCCCAGCCCCCTCAGCCGCATGGGTCAATGCGCTTTTTACTGTTGAAACCAATTTGAGTTAAATTTCTGTCCCTTGAAAAGGAAAGACTAGAACAATGCCCGGGCCCCTTTTCCTCCTTCCAACCCGCCCTCCACACAGCAGCCAGCGTGACTTCTAAGCAAACAGATGGAACATTTCCAGAACCTGCTAGGCCGCAGCCTATTTGTACAACCTGCATGATGCACATTCCGTGAGCTCTGGAGCCGATGTAGCCCTGAGGCTCCCCGCTCTGCCTCTCGGGATTACACACGCCGCGGGCCCAGCCCTGTGGGGAACAGTATATTTAGACTTGCTGTGTGACCACATTTAAAGAGCTTCACCACCCAGAGCGTTTGTAGACATGATCTCTATTAAGGCGGGGAGAGAGGGGTGCTTTGTCGATCTCAGTGACCCAGATCAGAGGCTAATGACCTTGCTGGGGCTGGTAAGGTCACTCTTGTGAGTCTGTGCATTTCACAGTAGTGAGGGGGGCCCTGAAGTATCGGAACACCCTGTTCCTTGACTCATTCATCCATTTACCCCGTGAATAGGCGGGGAGCCAGGCTCAGGGAATTCAGTCGTGAACTAGACGGCATCCTTCCCATCACGGAGCTGGTTTCCAGTGAACGTTCAGATGACAAAGTCAACCAGGACATAAACAGGCAAAGCCAGTCACTGGTGCCGAAAAGGGAAAAACACAAAGACCTGATGAGGGAGACATGATGGGAGGGCAGGAGGGCCTCCATGGGGTTCTAAGTGAGACGCCTCTAAACCCAGACGGGGAAGGACCAGTCCTGAGGAACGCTGGGGAGGTATGTCCCGGAGAGGGAATAGCAATGCCCAAGCCAGGAGGCGAGGAGGAGCTCGGTGTGTTCCAGAAACAAGAGACAAGCCCGTGTGACAGCAACGTGCGGCTCGGGCGACAAGCAGTGCACGATGGCGATGTGAGCAAGGGCCTGTATAGCCATGGAAACGAGGACCTGTGAAAAGGGAGTGACAGGCTCTGATTTATGTAGGAAATGCTCTGGCTGCTGAGGAGAAAATGGCCTGGGCGGTGGCAGGATGGACACAAGGAAGGCCAGCGGCTGTCCCCGGAGCCGGGCTGGAGACGACGTGGCCGGGCCCGAGGCGTGGCTCCGAGGAGCAGCCGGCTGGGGTCCCTTTGGCCCAGAGGACGTGGTGGTGAAGATAAGTGAGGAGAGAGTTAAACCAACTCCTAGGTTTTGGACTCAGTGATGGCACCGCCCCCTGAACTGCACTGAACTGGCTGGGGAGGGGAGGGCTCCGTTTTGGACAAATTGCATCCGTGACGTCGATTAGTGACTGATGACGCTGGCCACCCACGGCGGCAGAGAGGAGGCAGAGGAGGGGCTGGGGGAGAGGGGGGGCATCTAGAAGGGTCTCAGAGAGAAGTCAGCAGACTGAAGGAGGAGCCTGTGGGGGCCTGGGGAGCGTGCGCCGCTGGAGGTGTGCGGTCGAGGCGGGAGCGAAGCAGGCCGCCCGCGTGTGCTGTTCCCCTGGAGCAGCCCCTCGCCCAGCACGCTGGCGGTGTGGCCCAGCCAGTCCTGCGTGTTTTCTGGGTGAGCAGATGAAAGGAGAGCGGAGGACAGCTGGTGACAGTGGTGTGACGGTGATCTGCGTTGGAGAAGACAGATTGGGAGGACGTGCAGGAGGCTGGGTGAAAGCCTAGTGAGCTTGTGGACTGAGCTGCTCTGCCCGCCACGGCAGCGCCCGCCACGAGTGGCTACTGAGCACATGGGATGTGGCGGGTCTGAGATGTGCTATAAGCATAAGGATTTCAAAGACAGAGTGAAAAAAAGTAAAATATCTCATTAATGATTTTTACATTAATTACAATAATAACATTTTGGACCTATTAGGTTAAATAAAAATATTAGTACAGTTAATTTGTAACTGTTTATATTGCATTTCTTACAGTGACTAATAGAAAACTGTGGACGCCCTAAGTGGCTGGCCCCGCGTTTGGTGGGACAGGGCTGGCCTGGAGGGCTCGCCGGCTGAGAGGTGCGAGTGGAGGCGTTGGAGCAGAGAGGGAGCCTTGACATTGGGAGGCTTCACATTCAGATGTAAGGTCGTGCAGTCACTGCCAGCGGCAAAGTCATGGGAAGGTGTGAGGAGGAGGGGGAAGTCCTGGGTGTGGGAGAGGGCAAGGGATGGAGAAGCCAAAGGGTCGGATGAGTTGCCTGTACAGATGTTGGCCCCACCGAGGATGCTGAGAGCGGGTGGAAATGAATACGTGCAGAGCGGCAGCTGGTTCTGTAATTTCAGGGCTCCACGGGAAAGACCTGGGGATTGTTTTGAAAGGGAAAGTCCTTTTGGAAATGGCAAAGGAGAGCGTGAGGTACATGAGGTGAGAGAGAAAAGCAACCTACAAACTTGGGGAGGCTCACCAGAAGTCTAGGGGAACCTCTGGGTTTGAGCTAAAGCAAGAAAGGAAAGACTTGTTTAGAGAAGAGGTTGAGACCGGAATGTGTGCTCTGCTAACAGAATTCCAGGGGACACGGAGGAGATGTTCGGGGAGGGTGTGGGAGGGGGCGGAGGTCCAGCTGGGATGTAGGAAGCACTGCCGGTCCAAGATTCTGGGCGATGACAGGTGCCCGAGAACACCTGGGCCTCCAGGCCAGATAGCGCCATCAGCTCCAGGAAGCAAGGGCAAGATCAGCTGACACCACATCCTGAATACTTAGCTTGACGGTTTGGAAGCCAAGTGACAATCTCCAGGCATCTGCCATCCTCACTGGTTCTGGGAGATGTTCTAAAGCAACCATAATTAATAATGATAAGAAAGGATAATTAGTATAATGAGAGAGACCAGGACTA